CCTTTGGGGCAGCCCTGGGTCTCCCGGCCCTTGTGAAGCTCTCCGTCCCCGCTGAAAAAACATCTGGTTTTTGGTGCCGCTTTCCAAACAGACACGCACTCTTTCCAAGCGGGGTCCTTTGTTAAAAAACTAAAAAGTCGGGCAAACCAGGCTACTTTCAAAGAGTTTGGAATCCTCTCTTCCAATTAATTAATTAATTAATTAAACTAACTTGTATGGCGCCCATCTCCCCCAACAGGTGACTTCCCCAACGGGTGAATCCTTTTTGAAGCTCCTTCCAGCCAGGGTGTTTGCACCATGTTGTCCCGCGTCAGATGAAGACAGCCCTTGGGTGATACCCAAACCCATGCCATCCCGTGGCGTATTTTAAATGGCATGCCCCGATCTGTACACTCCAGATGTTTCGGACGACAGCTCCCATCCCCTTAGCACCAGGGAGACCTGAAGCATCGGCCATGTTTGCCAACACTCCAGGCTAAAATAAGATTAGTTACTTTGCACTTCTGTGGAGCCGTCCCACAAAATGGGGTTTATTCAGGGTGTTGTGTAAACGTTTGTGTTCACTTACAACTTCAAGACGTGTGGACTTCAACTCCCAGAATTCCCCAGCCAGCATGCTTCCAGAATTCTGGAAGTTGAAGTCCACACATCTTAAAGGTGCCAAGTTTGAGAGACATTGCTTTAATTGATCTGATGTTACAAGTAATCCTCATTTTGTGACCACGATTGGGACTGGCAACTCAATTGTTAAGCAAAGCGGTCACTAAGTGGAACCGCAACTGTGCTTACAATCTTTCTTCACCTTTCCTTTGCTTTGCTTTACAGACCCGTGAAGGTTGTCAACGCGCAGTTACTTCTTCTTCACCGCCGTAACTGCAAACGGTTGCTAAACGAGGCAGTCGCTCAATGAGGATTACCCATAAAAGCATATAGGACAGTGGCATCCTTGGTGTGCTCTGAGCTTGTCTGTTGGCTTGCAGACGTTTCATAACCCAACTACGTAACCTCATCAGCCCAAGGGAGCGTTGGCATTTAGGATTCAATAAGGCGAAGGACGCTAACCGAAAGAGGCTTCCTCTGGGATTTTATTATGAAACACTTTCTGCACAAAGGCGATCATACAAAGTAAGCCGCTAGGGCCGCCATCTTGTCTTTCGGCTTCTTAGGGGGCTGCCTCCCCCCCAGCCGTCGTCCCTTGCCTCTTCCTCGGCCCTGCCTTTTCCCCTGTCCGCCGCGGTGCATGGGGTGTTTCATGGCCGCGTGCTTCAATTCAACCAGGTCCTGGAAGACGGGGTCGCAGAACACGCAGCCCGAGTGCTGGGTCTCGCCGCCGGGGAGAGGCGACTTCGCTTTATTAAAATCCACGTCCACCAGCGCGGCGTCGCAGGATTCGCAGGTCTCGGCCGACACGCGCACCTTGTGGGCGTTTTCGAAGAAATGCACGACCACGTTGCATTTGTTGCATGCCATCTTCCACTTGGGCCCGGAGGTGGGGTCGAGCACCAGCACGCCGCTTTCGCATTCCACGCACTGGCCAATTCCGAGCAGGTTCAGCGAATGTTGGCACGTGGGGTGGGTACATTCGTTGCAACCCATTCCTGATGACGGAGAGAAAAGCAACAGCGTTCGTCCTTTTGCAAAAAACATAACCCTTCCTATTTCGGTCGCTTCAGTACCAGAGTAAAAAGGACCGTTCTGCAAACGCACCCAGAAGAAAACATCAGTGCGTTTCATCAGTGCTGGAAAGATGGGATGAAGTCCAATCAAATAAATAATAATTGATGCTTCCTGATTTTGTATCTACAAAAATTATGCAACCTATCCGCTCTGCATACTTGACTCTGGGTCGGTCTGTCTGTCTGTCTGTCTGTCTGTCTGTCTGTCATTCATTCATTCATTCATTCATTCATTCATTCATTCATTCATTCATTCAAACTGCCCATCTCACAGGTATACAATGACCATAGGCCCTTTATTATAAAGGACAATCCTTTGTTTCTGAACGCTGTCCTTTAGACTTATTTATTTTTCAGAAACTCACTTTTGTCCTTTATTTTGGTCATTTAACTTTTACCGTACCAAGGGTACCGCTTAACCCCCAGTCTTTCAGTTCATGTGAAAAATGTGGAAACAGAATGGTCTTTTTAAAATAAATTTACATATACCATTTGATTTTAGATATTTTGAGTGGCGTATGCATCTTTCTAAAGTTTTTCTTGGTTTTGCTCTTGAATTGTCCTTTGTAAAGCAAAGTGATAAACAGAAAGAATTAAATGGTTTTATCCTTATGAAGCTCTTTCAGATTTCCCCCTTTTTCAGGTTTGTCCTTCATTGTTTTCCAAGAAAATATGGCCACCGTACACATACGTGACTCTGGACACATACATGACACTGAGTTAAAAACATACATGCACACACACACACAAAACACAAAAAATAACCAAAACCACCACCACAAAAAACATAAAACCCATTACAACAATGAAAAGCCATTAAAAACCGTAAAAAAAATAATCTGCAGGACGGTGCAATCCCTCTTACTAACAATATCACAATTTTGCAGGCTCTACACCACCGCGGGATCCCCAGGCGTTTTCCTTTTGCAGCACAGATTTCTATGTGCAAATCTGAACACTTCTAAGAGGCCTAGTTTCAAACTGGGTTCATCCATCTAAGTTTAGCCCTAAGATGGTTCATTTAGTTTAGGCCTTGAACAAGGGCGAATCCGATTCAAAGTCAACCTCTGATCACCAGCAATCGTAAGAGTCTCAAAAATGTTTCAAGGATGCCCCCTGGAGCTGAAAGAATCGCCTGGCGCCACTGCATGCTTATAATAAAGCAGAGAAAAATCAGTTCTAGAAGGTGCCAACCATTATATTAGTGTTTCTCAACCTTGGCAACTTGAAGACGGGTGGACTTCAACTCCCAGAATTCCCCAGCATGGGTGGACTCCAGCTCCCAGAACTCTCCCATTGGAAGGGGAAGACTCCAACTCCCAGAATTCCCAGCATGGGTGGACTCCAGCTCCCAGAACTCTCCCACTAGCATGGGGT